ACACGAGTGAGACTCATGCCGAGTGCTCCCAGTAGTGCTGCCCCAATGGCAATCGCACAGACACAGAAAACAAACGCCATCAGTAAGCTGTCAGAGGCAGTGCACATACCAGTTTTTTTTTCCTCCCTGCCGAGGCCGTTAGTCGCAATCTACTTTGCCAGCCCTTAGCACGGTCATTCCTGGAGCTATGTTATGATGATTTATAAACCCCTCTATGTGCACAAAACCAATAGATCAACGGTGCAGCCGAGAAGACAGTAGCAGCTGCGGTATTTATTGAAATACCAAAAAAAAAAGCAAGTGATAGACAATTGAACGATTTCTAGCTAAACTAGAGAGGTACTTGTAAATATATCCTGCTTCTGCACTGCGTATTGTGAACAATAATCGGTTTAAGAGCTCCTCATCCTTTATCTAATTACTTATAAACCGTGATAATCCTTCCACATTAAGAGACATAATGTACCTCTCAGGTGCAATGCACACAACTGGTTTTGCATAAATTTTACTGGTCCAGAGCACCTACTCCCATTCAGAGAATCTCTCATCTCAAGAGCCACTGCTCCCCTCAAGAGCACACCCAATTCAGCAATTCAGAGGCCTGAGCAACAAAAAGGTAAAATGATTCAAATGGTTCTTTAACAGGCTCTGAGGTCAAAGAGAAACTTCTATTGTTTCATGTGATTGGAAATTTGATGGTTACTCTCAAACTAAGCTAAAAATAAATCAGTTTTAATAATAATAAACCTATAATAATCCTTGCATTTGATACAGCGCCTTATCAGGTCTTCGAGACCTCTCAAAATGTTTCACAAAATATACTGTAAAGTGGATTGACTGTATATTTTGTGGGCAAAACGCAGCAGCCAATTGTGCACAGCAGCGTCCCACAAACATTCGTAGATTGAGTGAAATAATTTTTTTTTTTAGTTTTTTATTTCATAAGACATTTTTCAAAGATAATTTAATTCTTAGCTGTTAGTCTATGTGCTTATGTATCATTATTCCTGGCTGCTTATTACTCTTTCTTGATTATTAAATATCTGTGTGTTATTGATTATAGCCTGTGGCAAGACAGTAATATTTTTATCCAAGTGGTAAGTAACTGGGTAACATAGTCTGTGCAGTAAAATATTAAATACTAAGAATCTGGCTGTTACATTCCTGGTAACGGCCTCTCTGCATGAAGTTTGACCCAAAAAGGTCTAGTTCAAGCTCATAAAGAGACACAGTCTGCTTCTGTGAATTGTGGACATGTATTAATTTTAAGAATCATTCCTGGAAGCCTTTACAAACCCTTAATGAGTATTCAAGATCAAATAGGTCAAAGCACTGTCTTCATCCCAATCTCTCGTGAACTTCAGTGCACAGATTTCTCATCTCTCCTCAAACAGTGCAACTTGTCTCACGTGCATAACTTCTCTGCTGTGCAAGTGAAATATCCACCAAGCTACGGCAAGAGTGCGCAACAACAAAACAACAAATTACACTGTATAGCACCCTTCACGTTAGAAAAATGTTCCAGGGTGCCACATTCCCGGCTGTTTAACAGAACATGCATGGTTGTGTGTACAGATTCACTCTTTTGAAAAGTGTCTCTCAGATGTTATTTGACTGTAAAAATCAATACCATGATGCGAGACTTTCTATATTCCAATGTCCAAAACAGAAAGCAGCTACCAAAAAGCAACTCTTTCGTATTTTTGGGGGCCAGCCGGGTGGGCGTCTGATACATGCGGAAACCCAGCACCATGCTTAAATGAGTATCCAAACCAAGATGAAGCAGAATTTCCATTTAGAATTTGTGGCAACTGGGTGCTAAGCACAGGATAGTGTAGGAGAGGGCTGTGTGTAAGCAGAAAACCCCAGGAATGGGCAGAAGGGTAAACAGCAATTGCACATCCCAGAACCCTTGCCTTATTTTCCGCTTCATTAAGTAACAGAGGGGAGGCTGACTATCACGTTAATTATTAGTGATGTAAAGCATTCATTTAAACTCCGTCTTCCCTCTCGCCGATGGGTGGAAAGATGGCCCTGCCAGCTTACAAACTAATCACCAAATCATTACACACAAAAAAAACAACAGCAGCAGCCCAGAGCTTTGAAGTTTCCCACAAACAGGCATGGATTGAAGTGATCAAATTATTATTTTTTTGAGTTTTTTTTTAATGCCCTTCAGGGGCATCTCTTCACCAGCCATACTACAGTATGGCCTGCAGGGGGAGATCTTCACCAACCATCCTGCAGTGGGTCCTGCAAGGGGAGCACTTCACCAGCCATACTGCAGTGTGGTCTGTAGGAGGAGCTCTTCACCAGCCATACTGCAGGATGGCCTGCAGGGGGTGCTCTTCACCAGCCATACTACAGGATGGCCTGCAGGGGGTGCTCTTCACCAGCCATACTGCAGGGTGGTCTGTAGGAGGAGCTCTTCACCAGCCATACTGGGGGGGTGGCCTGCAAGGGGTACTCTTCACCAGCCATACTGCAGTGTGGCCTGCAGGGGGTGCTCTTCACCAGCCATACTGCAGTGTGGCCTGCAGGGGTGCTCTTCACCAGCCACACTGCAGTGTGGCCTGCAGGGGTGCTCTTCACCAGCCATACTGCAGTGTGGCCTGCAGGGGGTGCTCTTCACCAGCCATACTGCAGTGTGGCCTGCAGGGGGTGCTCTTCACCAGCCACACTGCAGTGTGGCCTGCAGGGGGTGCTCTTCACCAGCCACACTGCAGTGGATGTGTTTTGTACTGTACCTTGACTACAGTTGTGTACAGAGCTGCCATTGGATACCGCTCTGCGTTATGTGCTTTGCTATTTGCAGCGCTGACGGAGACATCATTTAAAAAAGCAATTGGTTAACATTTGAAGAGAAACAATGTGAAAGGGTGTGGGGAGAGCAGAGGGTAGTGGGACTGGGGTGCATGTCTGCTGTGGAGATCATCAGTTCAGGAGTGTTGGACCATTCTCTGCTCTATTTTCTCCAATTCTATAAGTCTCAAAGGACAAAGCAACAACAGGGGCTCAATCTTGGGATAATATTTACGGAAGGTCTGAATGAATTAATAATTGTTGTCATTAGTGCGACAGAAAGCAAGCATGAACACAGATTTTTTTCAATAAAACCACGAATTGCAGTCAATTTAATTTTGTTTATTTACTAATTTACAACCATGAATTCACCTGAACAAGTCCCTATTGCTCAGATTGATGCTGGCTGAAAGCACCGTATTCTTGCTCTTCATTTTCACCATGAAATGCGTACATTTTGGTTCCTCAATATAGTGAATTAATTATAATGTTTGTACGTTTCTGATGAGGAGAATGGCATAGGTATGAGCAGTTCAGAACGCAAGTAAGTGCTGTCAGTGTAACACACAGTTGCCTTTTTTGTTGAGAGAAAATAATCCACATATGCACCTCCGAAAATTAGACTCAATTCCCAGAGGTTGGGTCACACCAATCTTTTCCCTTCCACTGAAGTAGTAGGAATGGGAGCACTGCATCAGCTATGCAATGGGAGTGGTTTCCCAACATGAATGTGTTTTGCCTCCATATTAAATCCATGAGTTAGTGCAGCAATGGTTAAAAAAAGGATCACCTTCTTTCAGACAGGTTATTTGTGAAGTCTTTCATGATTTTAATAATAATAAAAATAATCCTTGCATTTATCACTTCGTTGAAACGTCTCAATATACGTCTAAATATACTGCGAAGTGGATTCACTGTATATTTTATAAAATATATTACTCTTGCTCTCTCCCTCATTCTTTTCCAGTGAGTTTTAAAACATATATCCTTTAACAAATGAAATTATTCCTACTCCAACAGCAAAGATAAATTGTTGGTAACTAAAATTCACATTACCAATTGCTTAGTTATATAAACTAGAGGTTACGTAGGAGTGTTCTAGAAGGGATGCAGTCACTTAAAGGAACTGTAAGTAGCACGTTTATATCGGAACAAGATTGGGATTGTTTTTTTGATTGGGCGTGGGACAAAAAGTTCTTCGACTTTACAGTGCGTATGCTGAAAACAAAATGAGATAACTTAAGTTGTGTTCAGCACCTGCAGTTTCCAAGCAGATTGGCACAAAACATGATTAACATCAACCACCACATTCCACCCCAACCCCCCCCACCCACTCCCACTTCCATCCGATGGTACTGATAAAATGGTTATCAGATTAGCCAGCAATGAAAAGTGCAATCCCCCTCGTCGTTAGCATTTAGATTGACAGGACTAGGCTATAATATGCTTCAAAGCTGAGCCTGCCTGAGTAAAGAGGATTAATTCTTGAGCCAGCATGCTTCATTGGAGCTCTCATTACCAAAGTTTGTCGGAGTCGATGTTAGATTTGATTGAAGATTATAGCATTTAGGCTCCCCCTCATTTTCTGCCGATATTTGGCCATTGAATTTTCATACAGAGGGGATATGGTCAATACACCCAGCCTTTATCCTCTAATTCTGCTTCACTGCAACTTCATCAACTTTCCCAATGAACTGGAAGAAGGAAATAGGCTTCAACAAGAACATCCTCTTTTGTCAGATAATTTATTCCCTTCCCGCTCCCTGACGCTGAAAATGAGATTACAGTATTTAAATGAATACGATAATCGAATGGGAGTCTTAATCAACGAGTGAGGTTAATATTTTTGAACAGAACAAAGGGGAAAAGCAGAGGAACATGGCGAGCCCCAGAGAGTTTGCACTTCAGATCTGCATTTCTCTTGTGTTTTCCTTTTTTTTAGTTCTTTCTCTTTTGCTGAAAGGGTTCTGTCTTATTCTATAGTTTCTAATTTCTCTCTTGCTCAAGAATTCCCACTCTCACCAAATTCCTGCACAGAACTCCCACTCTGTTCACCTCCTCAGCCTCTACGCTGCTGGGCTCTCTGCTCTAATGGCATGAAGTGGCGGATTGTTTACGTCCCTTTGAGCTGTCATTGAAGCGAGATCTTTTATTGCAAAAAGCACAATTTTAAAACAGAAATTCAGCTGACCCATGTCTGCATTCAAACTTTTTTTAATAAAGTACCAATAAGTAACAGTGGCATTTCATTTAAAAATATTTTTTTCTGCATCTTCTTTCTCAAAAATCATTTCTCTATATACAGGAACCAGTATTAAAGTTATTTTTCCTAAACAAAAATCTGCAATATTCTCGTACATAAAGGAAAGACTATAACACTCTGCCAGATAGGGTCCCCTCATTTAGGGATTACATAATCAATGTGCATAGTGGAGAAAACTGTATTTTAACTTCTGCCAATTGATGGTGGGAGATCCTACTTTGTCTCAAAAAATGACAACAGCTTTGATTTGCCAGTCTGACTTGGCTCCTGGATTCATTCCTGGAGGGTTTTGTACTTTACTATGAAAAGATCCACCTTGCGTGTGTACACCGAACAGTTATGACTTTTCAGTTCAAGTGCCAGTTACATCGCAAGTTCTTAAAAGGCAATCCAACAAAGCAACCACCATGCCAAAGATTGTCAAAACCTCAACAAGACATTGCAGGTGACTCGAGCAACAGTAGTTACTTGGAAGGACCAGTATATCTGCTACAACAGGGCATTGCTATTGCAAGTACAGGCAGTGACAAACCCCAATTTTAAAGGACATTACAGAGCTCTTGCACAGAAGACGTTTTCAGTTCCGTTTTCTAGCTGCCGGAGGCCGTGATGATTTTTTACACCGTTTCTTACTTGCTGCTGGGTGTGCTTTGTGGTCCTCATCTTCCTCATCTTCCTCATCTTCCAAATCACTGTCATCATTATCACTGTTAAAAATGTCACTTAACTGAAATACACGTTTCAGTGGCTTATGAACAGCAGCCTCTGTGCTGCAATCACTAGAATCTGTAGCTTTTTTTTTCAACTTCTCTTCATACTTTGGACGTATTTTATCATTAAGGAAGTCCACAATTTCTGTGAAAGAGAATAAAGTTCACAATAAATTGAGATAGGCTTTCAACCAACACATTTTTAATCTTTTTATCATTCAGCAAAACACTAAATCCAATTAATTAACATTTAGGCAGTACAAAAGCAAGGACGTGAATAAAGATTATAGATGGTCACATTGCCAGTGCATCTATTTTCACCACTCTACACTTTACACGTGTAAAATCTCCATCTTCCATGGTTTTTAATTCATGCCATGTGTTAAATTCTAGTTCTGTGCCATTACTGACTGCAGCCTTTACCCGCTTGTGTGTCTACAGCACGCAATGGTAAGGCTAGCTGCTGTCTTGATATAACTGTTACCTGCCATGGAAGTGAAATGCAGTTACTGTGCTGATTTTCTTTCAGGAACTACTCTAACGCCTGTCCCTTGCAGTATAACTCGTCCATCATGGTTCATACTCTGCGAGCTACAATACTAACCTCCAAAGGTTTTCCTGTGCCAAGAGGGTACGTGGCGAGCTTTCAACTTGTAGAACATCGTTTGAACGAATTGAGGAGGCACGTTGCTAGGAAATAATATTGAATAAAACATGTTGTAAGTCATGAAGACACATTTATATTAAAATAAATCCACTTCCTATGGGCTGGGGACAGGTGCGCTGCATTTGATCAGGAGTGAGAGATCTTGTTAAGCGTTTACTAGCGTGCAGGTGTCATGCTAATTGTATATGCCACTGCTGGCTCTTGTCTTACAGCTGCAGTTACATCCAGTTGTCAATCGATTGGCGGATCGCTTTCCAGGGGTAATAATCTCTCAAAAAAATAATTGGTCACTCAATCTACAACTTTTTGGGACACTGCTCTGGGCAATTTGCTGCTGCGTTTCGCTCACAAAATACACATTCAATCCACTTTACAATATTTCTGGTGAAGTGCTTTGAGACGTCTCAAGACATGATAAAGCGCTATATCAAATGCAAGGATTATTATTATTATTTTTGTCCCGTGAAGAGGATGATTTTTTCTTACCCAACAGCATCACACATCTGCTCCCAGTCCACTTCACTATCATCGTCCACATTCAGCATATATAGCCTGCAAAATACAACAGAGAGTTCTAATTTAGAGAGAGAAGGAAGTGATATAAAGAAACTTGCTGAAGAGCTTAGGAAGAATCTTCCGATAATCAGCAATTACTTTCTGTCGTGCTATAAAACATATTAGCAACATTTTTATTGAGGCATAATTAGAAACAATTCAACCACATTAGAATGGCGAAAGGCCACAGCTATTATGTATGTCGGTTGTGCTGGCCTGCGCCTCCAAACCCATGGCTTGAACCTTTCCAAAATATTTAGGTCTGAGACTCTGGGCTAATTATAAAATACAACTCCAAGTTCAACAACAACAATAAATTACATTTGTTTAGCGCCTTTCACGTCTAGAGGGAAAAACACAATTGCTATCAACTGTTACTGGTTACAAGGCTGTTTTCAAAGCACAACAAAGGGCAGGTGCAGTTCTTGTTCTAGGTTTGTGTTGAGTACAATATTAATTCAGCAATAAAAAATACACCCTTAGACAACAATCTGTTCTATTGATGGATGCTTCACTATAAAACTGTTTGCATTTTCCCTCTCAGAAAGATTTCAATTTAACTTTACCTTTTAATAAGGTTGATCTTGCACGGGTAGGTTTTTCGCCCTCGACCAGACACCGACCCTTTGGACATTTTGATACTCAAAATCTGCATCCTGCCGAATAGTATAAAGACAAGTTAAAATCCTTGCATTTCCCTTCATAGAAATTGAACTATTTGTTTGAAACATTTCACAAGTGTGGGCAAAAAAAATAAATGGTGGAAAGTTATCACAACAACAACAAATTACACTTGTATAGCTCCCTTCGCGTTGGAAAGACGTCCCAGGGCGCTGACAGTCAGGGAGTTTTGGACCCGATCTGGAAGCTGGGGTCAGGAGGGGTGGAGGGCAAAAGCTTGATTTTAGCTGGATCATTTAATGATGCAGATGGACAATGACAGGGATATTGCAGTCTGGAGTGAGAAGATAGAAGGAAATTTGACTCTACTGTCAGTCATTGTTAAATATTCTCAATCGGTTCCCAGGCTGAGGCTGTGGAGAGGTTTCTACTCCAACTAATAGTCCAGGATGAACAGCCCAAAGCTCTCAGTGCGACAACTGTGGACATTGTAACCGGGGGTGGCTCTGCATCCCAGCATTAGCTGCAGCCTACCAAAAATATTCCGATGGGACATAATAATATTCCTTGCATTTGATATAGCGCCTTATTACGTCATTGAGACATCTCAAAGCACTTCACAGAATATACTGTAAAGTGAACTGACTGTATATTTTGTGGACAAAAGGCATGGTTATGTTCAGAGGTTGAACAGGTCCAATGTCACTGTATGCTCAGCAATGCTCCTCCTTCAGCAGTCTACCCTCCTAATAAAGGACTTAGTGATCAGGAATTCTCAAATTCAACTGGCATGTTGTTATTGTATGTAATGCTTACAATCAGTTGAAGACTACACCTGTGATCACATGATAAGCTCACCATTTTTTTTGCATTGTATCCAGTGTCTTTCCTCCATTAGGTTTGAAATTTCTAACCAAGGGAGTCCCTTGTACAGCTTTTCCCGAAGGATTGAACCAAGCTTGTCCTTAGTTGGTGCCTTGACCGCTAGACAGTTATCTTTTTCTACTCGCTTATTAATGACCTTCTTCATTATTTTCATGAATTTCCTCTCCTCCTGCTTGCTCCACGGGCCATTCTTCAAGGCTATTAGAAAAAAAGTCAATGAAGTTTTGCTTTGACTGAAGTTATTGATCAACAGGAAATCCAGACATAGCAATGTTTTCATTTCTCTGCATTGTTGTATCATTCAATTCTTGTCATTTCTTCGTGTCGATCTGTGTATAAACTACACAATTTGATAGCCATTCACTTTGCATAAAAACTTGACTAGTTCTCAAAACATTAAATAACTTACAGAAATCTATCCACATTTATTGCAATCTAAAATAAAAACAATTCATTTGAATACTTAGACCTACAGTCCTTCATTATTCTGGCTCGACACATCACTGATAGATCACTGCGCTCCAGACCACCGGCAATCTTTTGCCAGTGATTTCCATGCACAGCCATCAAGCGTTTAAATTTCTTCAGTTCTTCCTCTGTGTACCTGATAATAAAACACATTGGTTACTCATAGCAGACACATGGAACATATGCAGGTTTTGCTTCTATGTCTTTTGAAGTTGCAAAGGATAGCCCTTACTCAACTACTCAAATGATTAGTAATCTAATATTCCAGGTCAAACTCACCTGCCTTTACATCGGTGGGGATCGTACAACTTCCTAGCTCGCTGGTAAACACTTTTCCATGGTCTTGCAATGCCCTCAGCTGGGGGAAAAAAGCTAATAATAAATGATTCCATAAACAATATTCATTTAACTTTGTCTTCAGGGAGATCCGATTTAATCTAAGACACAAAGTAGGTAAACTAAGTGATGTTACGTTCTTGTGGTTCAAAGGAGAAGTTGATGTGCAAAACAATGGCTTTTTTTAACATGAAGAAATAGACAATTCAAAGATTATCAAAACAAACTAATAATAATATTAGGGAAAATATGTTAATAAGTACATATAAATCACGTACCAAGCTTGACACAGAATAAGTGTTTGATTTTCAGCCGTTTTATTCTCAATAAATCCTCAAACGATTCAGGAGGTTGGAAAAATTCCCACTCATTTTCAATTCCAGTCACCAACATTAATTCCTTTAGGTTTGTCTGTATCTGCTCATTCTCTTCTTTAGTGTACCTTCCCTGTCGGATAGGAATCCCTACAAAGATATGTAGAGTGGAGTGAGAAACAAATTATATAGGGGGAAGGGAATAAGAGAAGACTCAAGGGTCCAAAAACCAAGTCACCTATAACAACAACAACAAATTACATTTGCATAGTCGAGGGGATGTTCAATCTATATTGGACTGTGTTTGAGGTATTTTAGAGATATTTTAGAGATACAACATAAATTTAATAGACCTTTATTCTATAGTACAGAATAAAATACTTTGACAACTCATATGTGATATTTAGGAGTAATTAAAAAAGTCTAGAGTAAGTAAACATAAGGATTAGTCAGTCAGGCGGTTGTAGATAGCTAGAGTGGGAAAGAAAGGACGGAAAGAGACATCATGACCTCAAAGTCTGGTGAGCGTCCTGACAAAAAGGCGGTAATCAATAATTTGGGCAATAGGAACCTGCACAATAGTTGGGATAAAAATAACGGGGTAAGGAACCAGAAGCATTATTGGGATGGACACATGAGTGTCTAGATGTAAAATTATGATATCCGACAGGTCAAAGTCCAAATAAAGATAGGTAGGGGTACTCACCAGGAAGGTAAGAACAATGGGGAAAAGACTTATAAAAAAACAGGAAAAAAGGATAGAGAAGTCAGTCCAGAGGGAGACTAAGAAGGTAGTCATCTTTGGGTAGCCTCCGTTTTGTGAATATAACCAGAGGACCCACGGAGAACTCCTGCAACCAACTGACCGTGTTTCTGGTAGTATATTCTTATCATTGGTTATATTGGTCCTATAATATCTATATATGTATTACTTATAATTATTGAGACATTTAAAATATCTGTATGCATATAAATAACCAATTAAAAGCTAAACTACTGAACAGGGAGTTGGGCGCGATTAGGTATCTCCAGATTAGAGATAAAGCCCACATGTTGAACCTGCATAAATTGGTGGTAGGTTTGTTATTAATAATATACATAATAATACTTGTATTTTCATATCTAATTTGCCTTTATCATAAGTGTCTTTGCTAATAAACTTTACGACACCATTACGTTTTTTGTCGCGTTCTTAGCATTCAAACCCAGCGGTTTCCAAATCCCAACAGCTGAAGATATTTATTTCACATTGAAAGGATAAATATAGGGACAATGCTACTAATTTTGTTTGGGTGCGTTTTACTCCTAACAAACGACTAGGAATGTAATACTATTTAACTCCTCCTGGTTCCACTGACAGCACAGGAGCAGAAGCAACTCTAACTAAAAGCCAGGTTTGAAATCACCTCACATTTCCAGCGAAAGTTAGAATTACTGTTTTAAAATAGTTCTGGACACTAGAAGCAAAATACAGGTGAGCTGTTGTTGGTATTGAGAATTTATTAATGCAATGATACAAGCCAAGGGAATGCCATGCTTATTCTGAGATCGATAGACAGGGAAAGTAAAGCAGGATCCTAGAGAGAAAAGCAATGGCAAGGCCAGGTTCCAAACGCCACCAGGCATTTGGAAATCCCATAGTGTTCATTATTTTTAATGTCTGTCATCATATTACGCAGCCGAAAATTTTCTGTTGTCTGACTGCAGGTTTATGACGACAATTTTCTATGCGATGTGGAATAAACAGCTGGTTTAGGACCTTCACAACAGCCGCTCTGTGCACACCAATGGCATCTATACATGTAATAACCCTGCTTGCTTGCTACACCCGTCTATAAGAGGTTAGTGCACATTCATTCAGTTCATATTACAGAGAATGGTATAATAAAATAGTACAGCAAGGATTAGAATGTGTGTATGTAAAAGACAGGAAATGGGAAGCATGGAAAGGTATTAGAAAGAAACAGCATATTGACGTCAATGACATCCTTTTTTTAATAAAAATGGTTTAAATTCTGCCCCAAGTAGCAAGCTATTGTAAAGGTCAGGGTAGCTTGAAGGAGGCAGCGAGAAAGTTTTTTTGAACTGCAAGATTCACTCTTTCCTTATCAATGAGCTCAGAAACTCTGGTTTCAGTCTCAGACTTAATTCTGAGTCTGATTCATGTTATAAAGCAAATACTGGAAAATCAAGATCTTTGGTCTATTAAGCAGTTTAGTAGCTCAAGCGTCAGATTCAGCAAAATCGACACTAAAAAAAGCAGATTTTCCAGTATTTGCTTTATAACACAATGCAATCTGTATAAGATGCTGATCTGTTCCACAAACGATGATGGCAACAAGTGTGCCAATGAAATATTACAGATTTTCAAAAAGCTTCAATTTCAATTAAAAGTGCACAACACAGGAACTTGCAATAATCCTCGACCACAAGATATACAGTCAATTCACTTTACAGTATATTTTGAGAAGCGCTTTGAGACGTCTTGAAGACGTGATAAGGCGCTATATCAAATGCAAGGATGATTATTAGTCTTACCTTCCTCCTTCAATGTTTTAAATCGTGGTAGGTCATACCTAAACATGGAGCGTATTGTATCATTTGACATCGTTCTCACACTGGGCATAAACTCCCTTAGCTGTTCAACCATAGCCTTTATGCTCTGCTCCATTTTAAGCTCTGTCAAGTCTGGATCAATTTCTGCAAGTGTTTGCTCATAAGTAATACTTTTCTCTCCAACAGATTCTTTGTGCTTCTTCTTTTTCTTTTTCTTCTTCTTCTTCTTCTGATGATGATTTGAATCTGGCAAACCCTCTTTGGTGTGGATGTTATCCTCAGGTGTAGTGACCGGCTTGCTCTTGATGGGGAACATTGCACAGTATCAGTCTCTTGCGAGTCCTTGTCTTCACCAGACTCCCGGAGTTTGATTGCCTTTCTCTTTTTCTTGTGCTTCTTTGTAGGACTCTCTAGAGTTTTTGGCAAGCTGTGCTACTTAATTGTGGAGTGTCCTCGATCTCATTCTTTTCTTCAGTTAGTTTGTGCTTTTTTCGGTGTTTTTTTGAAGTTTTCCTGGGAGTTTCTGCACAGTTTGCACTCTCATCCTGCCAATTTTCTTCCACAGTAGTTTTCAACTCCAATTGATCATGTCTTCGACGTTTCTTGGGAGATATTTGCAGCACTTCAGAACCGTCATCCTTGGCTTGAGGAGTTGCAGCTCCGTCCATTTGTTTTTTCCGTTTTTTCTTGCGTTTAATTATTGGAATTTCTCCACCTACTTCAGAGGACTCGGGGTTATCACTCCTCTCTGCATTGGTCAGTAACAAAGAGTCATCCCCTTGTCTGAAATGCTTCTCTTTTTCTTTCTCTTCTCTCTTCTTTTTCTTCTTCTTCTTTTTGCATCTTGAGTACCTCGGAAAATGACATCTCTTGCTTTACCTCGATGGGAATATTCACGGCAGCATCATTGTTTTCAGTGCAGCTGCTACTGTCTCTCACACGATGCTTTTTCTTCTTGTGTTGCTTCTCACCATTGCTTACTGATCTGGAAATCTCAGTCTCGATTACACCGATCTGTAAACCGTCCCCTTTTACCACCGACCTGGAACAATGCTGTACTTCTGTGCTCTCATTTTCGACGATTGATTGACGGCGTCGCTTTTTCTTTTTA